AAAATAGACAACAGAGTATGGAGGAACCTTCGAAGCAAGGTTTTATAATATGTTCTTGAAAGAGGGTGCTTTTTGGCAAACCTCACGCTCTACAATGATGATTGCTCTTCCTCAAAGCACTCTAGAATGCTTTTCTAAGAAATCTAGAAATGCTTCAGAGGGGTCCTAGGAGAGTATTCTAAGAATAGTACAGTAGGAAAAGTTGTAGAAGTGTAAAGAGTGAAAAAGTCCCCCCCCCCTTTATAGGAATTCACACCTGTCAGGTCGGGACCGTCGTCTCGCCTTACAAGGTCGGGGTCATCGTCTCGACAAACGAGATGGCGGTCTCGCCTTCGGCAAGTGGCAAGTGGCAAGACAGTGGACTCGCTCTTTTGGGTAGAATTTCTTATTTTTTGTGTACAAAAATCCTTCCTATTCTAATATCGGTCCTATTGATCAATCCTAGGGACCTTCTAGGCCTTGCCCATCTTCGAACGGAAGTCTTCTGCTCTTTATTTTGAGGGCAGACAAGATTTGGGGTCTACAACTCCCCCCCCCCTTCACCTGACTAGCCAACTGTTGGCTCAACATGCCAAAAAGATCGGTTGTAGGGTGAAGGGGTTAACTCTCTTGCCCGGTTGTCCTTCGGTTGCATTCCTAGTTGTGGTAGCTGACCTCCAAAAAGATCGGTTGGAGGGTGAATGTGATCCTCCGAGATGCTCCTTTGATGTGGTAGCTGACCCCTTCGTTTGATGAGTACGAACCCCCATTCGGTTTAAGCCCCCTTTTGTAAGGCTTAATGAGTACGCACCCCCCATCTAGTTTGACGAGTACGAACCCCTGTCTAGTTTAAGCCCCCATTTTGTAAGGCTTAATGAGTACGCACCCCCATCCGGTTTGACGAGTACGAACCCCCATCTGGTTTAAGCCCCCTTTTGTAAGGCTTGATGAGTATGCACCCCATCTGGTTTGACGAGTACGAACCCCCGTCCGGTTTGTTGTAACCTTGGGATGCTCCTTTAATGTGGTAGCTGACCCCTTGGTTGATGAGTACAAACCCTCATCTGGTTTGGCGAGTATGAACCCCCATCTGGTTGTGAAGTCCACTTTGTAGGACCGATGCGACTTACTGATCTAACTCATGCGCAGTGATTTTGCCTGTGTGCAGCTGTTTGTCTTCGGAACCTTCCTTGTGCCGAAGTTGTGGTGGCGGCTTACTGCTCTAGCTCATGCATCGTTCTTTGTGAGGAGTGCTTTTGCTTGATAGTTGTTTTTTCTGACTTTTTCTTATGGAGTCTTCCGATGTGTCGGGGATTTGTCTTCTTCCAGCTGATTGAGTGCTAGGGATTCTTGTTTTTGGCTTTTTCCATAGCCATCCATCTTTGTTGATCACTGGGGATTTGTTGATTTTGATGGTGCCTTTGAGCAGGCAGATGCTTCATCGGAAGTGAAGGCTTTCGGTTCACATTGTTTTCTTAAGTGGAACTTCCTTTGGAGACTTACTTTGGGTGCCTCCTATTTTCAAACGCAAACATGGAGCTAGTCTCCTTATATGCATGAATGTTTTTCATTTTTTGTTCTTTATCTGAAGCGATTCTTTATTTTTTGTTTTTAGATTTTGACAAAGACGTTTTGTGCGACTACTTGTGTGGATGCCTTACATGCAATATACTTTTATTTGATGTATCTAGAAAGTGACTGACATTCTTCTATTGATCTTTCATGATTACACTGATGGGCTCTTCTCTTTATTCTTTTTCTTTTTATTAAGCCCTATCTTTTGCCTAGACCGCCCTTTTGGGTTTTTCGATCTAGCGGGCTGCCTTAATTTTTTCCTAGGATATCTTAGCGGGCTTTTTCTTTTTTATGATTGCCTTAACTTTTGCCTAAACAGCCCTTTGCGGGTTTTTCATCTAGCAGGCTGCCCTAATTTTTTCCTAAGAGTCTCCTAGTAGACATCATTCTTTTTATCCTTATTTTTCTTTTTTCCTTTTCTTTTCTTATGCTTCTTGTATTGGTTCTGTCGCTACCGTCAAAAGAGGTGGTCAGAACGACGCGATGGTTCCAACTTCTGTTTCACGTTTTAAAAGGGTGATGTTACAACGCCTTTAGGTTGTCCGATAACCGGGATGGACCTAAGAGCGAGGTTTTCGAAAGGGAGCTTTTAGGTTGTCCGATAACTGGACTGGACCTAAAACCAAGGTTTTTAAGAAGAGTTCTTATGGAGTCGTCACCGATGTTTTTACCGAAAACATCGGAAAAGGAAAAAGAAAAGAAGGCATTGGTTTTTAAAAAAACCAACCTTGGCCATTATAACCAGAGTTGGGTAAGGGAGTTAGTTACGTGTGGGGAAGGTATTAGCATCCCCACAACGCCCCTTTCGGGTTCCCTATGATAGGTCAGTTATTTCATAAATAAACTTTAAAATGACGCTTTTACCATTTTATTTGTGGAATTAAGAAAATAGTGACTACATGGCCCTAGTAGCTATTGTATAGATAAATATAAATAAAAGGCGGTAAAAAGAGAGGGAGAAAGTGAAGAAACCTCTGGAGCAAGCTTTCTTGATTAATTCTCTTAAAATAGGATGCTTTTTCGCAGTTCTTCGCTCTACAACATCGGTCGCTCTTTCTCACAACGTAAACAAAACTCTCTAAGAACACTCAGAAAACTCCGAAAATGCTTCGGAGGGGCTCTAGGAGAAGAATTTAAAGAAATGATAGAAGGGAAAATTGAAGAACTGTGTGAAATGAAGGGGAGAGCGCCCTCCTTTTATAGGGATTCATGCCTGTCAGGTCGAGACTGTCGTCTCACTAATCGGGACGGCGGTATCGATTTGTCAAATGGTGAGAAGGTCGTCTCGCCAAACTGGAAGGCGGTCTCGCCATGGCAAGTGGCGAGATGGTCGTCTCGCCAAACGGGACGGGAATTTCGCCCTTTGCTGATGGCGAGACGATGGTCTCGCTAAGCGAGATGGCAGTCTCGACCTTTTAGGTGAAAATCCTTATTTTTTCTGTACAAAAAACCTTCCTACTCTAATATGCGGCCTATTAGTCTAACCTAGGGACCTTTTAGGACTTTCCCATCTTCGAATTGGAGGTCTTTCGCCACTACAAAAAAAAAGCCTATTACCTACGGCAAAAATCCGTAGGTAATGGCAAAAATCCGTAGGTAATGTCATTTTACCTACGGATTTTTTTTCGTAGAAAATCCGTAGGTAATATGGTCGTAGGTAATTACCTACGGAATTACTATCTGTAGGTAATGTCGTCCGTGGGTAATTACCTACGGATTCTGTTCGTGGGTAATTACATACGGATTGCAATCCGTAGGTAATTACCCACGAACAGAATCCATAGGTAATTACCTCATTCAAAATCCGTATGTAAATCCGTAGGAAAATCACTAGGTAAATTTATACAATTTTATCACCACCAATTTAACTAAATTTTACCTGTTACATGCATATTACACATAAAATATTTAGATATCAAATTTAACAATATTCCATAATATTTATATGCACCAAATGCATATTCAGATATCAAACACAAATCATAATATTAGCATGCATCAAGTAGTCCTTGAAATATCTAAGAACATACAAATCCAAAGAAGTACTATAATAAATATTATGACAATATTGTTTGAGTGTCCTAATAATTATAGTAATGTCCTTGTTCATCTTGAGGCTGCTCTACGAAAGTCTGGTTGATTTTGTGATTGTTGTTGTTGCTCTTGCTGCTTCGCTCCTCGTTGTGATTGTTGTTGTGATCCTTGTTGGGAATGTTGTTGTTGAAATGCTTGTCGGGCATCGGGTGGAAGTAAAGGAAGGACAACACCGACAAGTGTTTGTAATTGGTGGTTCAATCTTTCATTATCCTCCCTATAACTAAGCACTTGTTTCTTTAATTGTGTAATCTCACGAGAATCGGTAGATGCTGAATATGAGAGGGTATCTCCAGGCCTAAACTTATGGGCAAGTTCTCCAACACCGTAGATCCGACCCTTTTTGTTGCTAGATGCAGCAAGAATCCAACTTTCAGTCCTTATTCTCTCCTCCTCTATAGGATCTAATGGAGATGACTCGGTTTCGCAGACGACAGGATGCCGCCTCGGATCTAGCCTCGAGAGTATCTTCTCCGAAATTCTTCCTATTCACATACAAATAAAAATTATGTACGATATACAACACATATCCATCATAACATATAAGAGAGTAATAGAGTAATATTAAATAAGTTCACAACTCACATGAGTTTTTCTAGACCTTTCATCAACAAATTCACCATTAACCTTTCGTATATGAGTCTGTTTGAACACCTCATCAATATGTGCGGGACGACCCAACTCCTTTTCCTGGAAAAAAAATTAATTAATAACATATCATGAAGAAATGAAAGAAAGAAACTTTTGTTATAATTTCATATTTACCATTCGAATGGCGTGTTCATGCATACTAATAGAACCACCTGTGTGTAAACTACCACCCGTCTCGGAAGATCGATTCTTCCGAGCTTGTGCACACTTTGCACGATAATCAATTGAGTTCCAGTTGTTCAACGAGTTTTCCACACATCATCAAACATCCAATAGGGCTTTTGACCTGTCCTTCTAGCATCTTTGAACATTTCGGATAGCCTATGTGAGGCCTTTGAGTGAAAATTCTTTCGAATCCTATCCTCATCTTCGAGTCTCCAGGTGACCTTTCTCTTTGCAAATGATTTACACAAAAAACAAATAATAATAATTGTGTCAATGAATGTAAGTAATAAAAATAATTCATCAGCCTAAATATAAGAAAACTTACTTTAAATCGTTGAAAGAATGTCTCTTTTTCAACATCGGTCATTGAACCCCATGTCGCCCATGGCTTAGAATATTGTTGCTTAATAGTCATTGTTATAGCTTGTGATGCAACCCGACATGGATGAAACCTTCTCCAAATAATTAAATTAAATAATAATCACAATTTCCTAATACTTGCAAATAATGGGAATGATATAATTTTAACTTCATTCTTACCCTAGACCATAAGGTGATATGATAGGAAGATTAGTGCCAAGTGGATGATCCTCCTCAATGTTTGATTGTGCATCACCTTCCTGAATATGCACTTCTTGGTCTTCCCAGCTGGTGTATGACGGACTCTAGAAGGCACCGATAATGGTGATAGTCTTGGAGACCTTGAGGGTAATGTAGGTGAGACCAAAGGTAGTGGTGATGGTACTGATGATATCGAAGGCAATGTAGCTCCTGGGGAAGGTGCTTGATGCAATGACAGGTGATGGACTAGGGTTGGGTGCATCAACCGGGGATGGGGCGAAGTGGTTGTAGGTGCAATATTGTTTGTATGGGCATGTATATTCTCGAGCACTGCAGATGAAGAAGGTATAGGTGCAGGAGCTACGGGTGGGGGAGGGACATTTACTTTAAGTATATAGCGTGGTTTTTTTCATTTCGTTACTTTTTTCCCCTTATTGGAATGAGACATGGGAGGTTGGGGTGAGTCACATCCTCCCGATGACATATCTATACATAGGAAATTTATATAGTCAATTATGCAATGGAGTAACGTCATACATAATATGAAATAGAAAAATTAACTCAAAGAAAACATTTTTTCAACTACATAATAAACATTTTCTCAACTACATCATGTAGAATATAAAAATTAACTCATAAAGAACAATTTCTCAACTACACAAATCCTATTCATCTTCATCTTCATCTTCTTCCTCTTCCTCTTCCTCTTCCTCTTCCTCTTCCTCTTCCTCATCCTCTTCTTCTTCTTCTTCTTCTTCTTCTTCTTCTTCTTCTTCTTCTTCTTCTTCTTCTTCTTCTTCTTCTTCTTCTTCTTCTTCCTCTTCCTGGACTACTTCAACATCAACTTGTGAATGTTGCAATCCAAAAACACCTTCAACTTCAATAGCTTCATTTACATGGGACATTTCATCCATTTGGTAAGGAACATCATCTTCCATGTCTTGAGATTCTATGCGACCTCTAGGCTTCGTTTTTATAGCAACATACCACCCTTGTTTGTCCTTTCTTGATCTCGGATATGGGATATAATATACTTGTCTAACATTATGTGCCAAGATAAAAGGATCAAATGGTAAATACCTTCTATCCATGCGAATGTCTACAGTTCCATATTTAGAATCCACTAATGTACCTCTACGTGATGGATCAAACCATTCACAATAAAATACCACCACTTTCTTCGGGGAGGTTGAAGTATTATATTGCAGCTCATATATGTGTTGAATGATGCCATAAAAATCATCTTCACCTCCTTCCGTAAGACCTTTTACATGTACACCACTATTGATTGTTTTTTTCCCCGAGTCCAAGCATGAGTGTGGAATTTGTATCCATTGACAAAGTATGTGTGCCATTTATTGACACATGTGAAAGGACCAATCGACAACTCCCTTAAGTGCATGTTTCTTACACTTAAAGGCTCACTATGAACCTACAAATGTAAAGAAGGTATAGTCATATGTTGTTAAGCATATTTTAATAAACTAAGTTATTAATGTAACCATACATACTTGATGCTTAAACCATTGAGGAAAATGTCTATGTATGTGATTGGACATGTTTGAGTCATTGGGTTGACCAGATTGCAAGAAGGAACTATGAAAATATAGGAGAAGGATGGAGAACAATTTAATTAAAAAAGAAAATGATATAATAATGAAATATAGTGTTTGAAATACTCACTCAAGGTATGACTTAATTTCGAGTGCAGTTGATCAAGACATGAACATGAGCCGAGTTCCACTCTTTTGAGTTAACCAATGAATTGATGTCTTTCCTGAGTGACGACCAACCAAGTTAAAGATAGATAACATTGATGGATCCCTTTCAATTTTGGCTTGTATTTCATTTCTCTTATTTTGTGGTGATAGAATGAAGTTCTTGAAATAATGGGAACAAAAGTGAGTTGTCTCTCGATGCAAGTATGAGGCACAAATTGATCCTTCAACACGAGCTTTATTTTTTACTGATCGTTTAGAATCACCCATGAATCTATAAAATCAATGAAATGAGGATGATATTAGCTCAATATTTAGTAAATCAAATTTTGTGCATAATCAATGATAGTCTTCTTACCTTTCAAATGGATACATCCATCTATATTGAACTGGTCCACCAAGTTTGGCTTCATACACAAGATGAATAGGTAAGTGTTCCATTGAATCAAAGAATGCAGGGGAAATATTCTCTCCAACTTACAAAGAATTATTGGAATATTTTCTTCCATTTTAGCCAAGTCATGATGCCTCAATGTTGTAGAACACAAATCTTTAAAAAAATGGCTCACTTCAAGTAAGAGGGTTCCAAGCATGCACTGGTAATGAACTAAATGCAATAGGGAGTAAACACTCCATAAAAACATGACAATCGTGGCTCTTCATCCCATGCATCCTTCCCTTGTCTACATCGGCACATCTTGCTAAGTTGGATGAATAACCATCAGGCATTCTAAGTTCCTTGATCCAATGACAAACTAACTTTGCTTCCTCTGCAGTTAAAGTATAATTTGCTTTTGGCTTTACCATCTTCCCATTAGCTTGCAACTTCAACTCTAAATCTGGTCTACAACAATACAAAGCTAGGTCCTTCCTTGGCTTATCATTATCTTTTGTCTTACCTTTGACATTCATGACAGTGTTGAATATATTATCAAAGAAATTTTTCTCTATGTGCATAACATCAAGATTGTGCCTCAATAAATTATTCTTCCAATACGGAAAATCCCAAAAGATACTTCTTTTTGTCCAATTATGCCATTCCCCATAGCCTGGTAACTTGTTCATATGAGGGTAATCTATGACTTTGGGTATATCCATAATTATACTCCAAACTTGCTCGGATGTCAATGTACATGGTGGGTCATTAGTTTCAATTTTTCCCTTTTTAAAAGCTTTTTTATTCCTTCTAAATACATGATTTTTGGGCAAGAACCTACGGTGTGAATCAAACCAACTATTTTTCCTCCCATTATGCAATGTAAAGGCCTTTGTATCCCCCATGCAATGCGGGCAGGCTAGTTTACCTTGAGTCCTCCAACCTGACAACATACCATATGCAGGAAAATCATTAATAGTCCACATCAAACTAGCCCTCATTACAAAATTTTGTTTCCTTGAAATATCATATGTTTCAACTCCTCTCCACAATTGCATCAGATCATCAATCAAAGGTTGTAAATACACATCAATACATGACTTTGGATTACGTGGACCAGGAATGAGGCATGTCAAAAACATATAAGGTTTGGACATACATATTTCAGGAGGAAGATTATATGGGGTCATAATTACTGGCCAACAAGAATAGGGCGTGGCAGATGCTTCAATATATGGATTAAATCCATCATAACATAGACCTAGTCTTATATTGCGTGGTTCAGCAGCAAAATCTGGATAAACTTGATCAAAATGCTTCCAAGCTTTACCATCAGATGGATGACACAACACACCTTCTGGTCTTTTATTATCATAGTGCCATGTCATTTGTCCAGCCGTTTTCATGGATGCATACAACCTCTTTAACCTCGGAATTATAGGTAAATAGAACATGCTCTTAATCGGAATTGGTTTATTTTTAAGAGTTTCAACTTTTGGGGCATGATACCTTGGCTTGTGACAAAATTTGCATTGCAGCAAAGATCCATCATTTTTCCCATAATCATTGTCATAAAAAAGCATACAACCATTAACACAACAATCGATCCTTTTAGCCTCTAATCCCAACTTTGAAACTAACCTCTTCGCATCGTAATAGTTTTTTGGTAAACTATTTTTGTTGGGTGTTACATCCAAAAGCATTTTTATAATGAAATTTAAAGCGTGATCAGGAACATGCCAATTAGATTTGCAAGCTAACAATCTTACACATATGGACAGTTTGGAGTCTAAAGCACCTTCAAACAAAGGTTTATTCGCTTCCAACAACAAATCATAAAATCTTTGAGCTTCTTCATTTAGAGGCTCTTCCATGATATTTGACTCTGGTGGTTGAAATGTTTCATGTTGCCTAAGTGCGTCATACACCATGTCCTGCATTGCCATCAATGCCTCATCTTCTGAAAAATGTAACCCACTACTTGAAGCATGTGTCCAATTTTTGTTAGCATGAGGCATTTCCTCACCGTGATCAACCCAAACATAATAATCAGGCATGAAACCATTTTTATAAAGGTGAAGTTTAACCATTTCCATTGGCAAGATCTTTGTACATTGACATTTATTGCATGGACATCTCGTTTGGCCTTCATTTTGATAACAAACTTGTTGAGAAACTTTCATGACAAACTCTTCAACGCCATCAACAAAACTTTGTTTTAAACCACCTCTATTACTATGGCTTCGATCATACATCCAATAGCGATTTGCATAAAATTGATCCATGTTCTACAAAATATGAACTTTAATGTTACACTAATTAAAGTACAAAATTAGAAAGGATTTTGACAAGTGTTTGGTAATGACCAATATAATAACTTGAAGGCTATTCCATGTAGGACTCATGTAAACCTCTTAGCCAATAAGGTTAGAATAACTAAATAACTAATCTCATCTTGCTAATATATGAAGATACAAAACTAACAATATTCATCAATTATAATACAAAATATTCATCAATTTTAAATGATGATTGGTAATATGTATCCTGAATCAATGCAAACAAATTGAACAAAATAATCAAACAACTCAATCCTTCGACTAACCATGTTACATGTTACATTTATTGCCCCCAATCCTCACTTAATACAAGGCATCCATAGCCAGCTAATCAATCATTATTTAAAATTCAATATAGAAAAGTCAAAGGTAATTACTTACCAACTAACAAAGATCTTCAAATTGGATGAGGAGTCACTTCCTTCCCTTTATCCTTCTATCTTTTATGAAGCTTCCCCCTATGAAATTACACGACACGTTCAAACGCAAACCATACTAATAGCCTCATGGTAATCAACCACACAATCCAAACAACTCGAATAATAACATTATTTAAATATTATATTTATTATTATATTATATAATGAATTGTCAGTTGTATAGTAAATAATCCATTCTCAATGCATTTTCTTTTTAATTTTATATGACATTAAAAAAATTAAGATCAATCTGCTAACAAGTGTTATCTGATGTCATTAAAGTGTGTACATCAATGTAACTAAAATACACTCGTTACCCTTTCTACAATTAAAATACTAATTTTCTCTCCTAATGAGAATAAACCGACAAAACACAAATTTGATAATGTGAGAGTTATGATTGCTTTCTCACTCTTGAATTGCTTCCAACTCCAAAGGTCTTCTTCCTGAAATAAGTCCCCTGACAGTAGTGGAAGTTGTTGAGTGAAATGGGTTAGGAGGCACAGTTAATTGGTTTTCCTCTTTAGTTTCTAGCATTTGTATGACAGATTTTATGGATGGACGGTTCACTGGCTGCCACTGAATGCACCAAAGTCCAATAATGGCTAGCTTCTTCGCAATTTTAGCGTCACCTTCATCCTCAACATTGAAATGAAAATGCATAAAATGGAATATTCATCAAATCTTCCACACCCTTCTCTCCTATCCTATCACAGTTTATCCCTCATTCTCTATGATGGTTTTCTGGTGTCGTTGCTCCTTCCAACAGAATTGGTTATATATACTGAGCACGTACCATATAGCATTATTCAAATATTATACATTCCCACCACCAACATTAGAAGTGAAGATCATTTTCTTTATAAGTACATGTTACACTGCAACTGCAAGAATAGAGAGAGAATACATGATAGAATCAACAAATTATTTATTTTTTCATTCACTCGTGAAATCATACAAAGCTGTAGAATGAAGCCTAATCTAGCCAATACAAACAAAGATTTAGTAATCCATATCCTAACCGAGTAATTGGTGACCAACCATTAAATCGCTCTTTCATGTCAACCCTAAGTTAGGCAAATAGGATAGGTTTTTAGTGGGGTCAATGAAACAAGGCGAATTTACGACCAAGTTGTTCATGTATAAGAATATTCAATCGCAGGACACATGATCATATTCATGCAGTTAGGTAGATGTTACAAGATGACTAATTTCATCAAAATTAATCAACTACATACTTATAACGCCACAGATGATGTAGCTAAAGTGCCAGACACACACTAGTATCTTCTTTTCATGTGTTTAGAAGAGAGAGAAAAAACACTAGAATTGAAATAAAAGTAGGCTTACCAAAGCATTGAATTCAGACAGCAATATAACATAATGATTGTGTTCTTCCATCAACGGATAATTTACAGGGTTACTCTTTATCTGATTTCACTGTTAACAGCAAGTACATTTTTTTTCGGGAAAATATATGGATAGAGCATCACAGAATAATAATGCCCAAAAGAAGCTGCAAAGACAATGACACTGGAGGTTAATATTAAATCGCAACCTAAGAAAAAGATGTGAAGGACTGGATGTGTTCACATCAATACTCAACTAGAACACGAGTTTGGCAAAAAAAATATAACGAGGCAATTTAGAATTTACTTACAATGTATGGCAAACAGTATTTAGAAAGAAAAGCCATATAGCATATATCCAGTTAAAACACATTTGAAAATCGAACCAAAATAACTTTTCTTGAGAGTAACTAAAATAAGCATTCCCTGATATTTATAAGGCCAAGAAACTTTAGCAAAAACAGGAAAACTTTTGAGGGCAATAAGCATCACTAACAGTTAGCGGGAGAAATGAAAGGCATTATATATGATCTGATAGTTGTTCATCCTGAGTTTAGTGCCACGTTACAATAATTTCCCTCCTTAATACATATTATTCTTAAAGAAGCTGTTAGGACTGACTCCAACCACAAATCCATAGGTGGAAAGGGTCTGCAGGTTTACTATAGGAAAATTAAAGGGTCAAATAACAGTTGTTAGTTGGTTCTGTAATTTTTTCTGTTATCTAGTGTACTGTCATTCCTATAAATAGGTCCTTTTCTGTGTAAAGGAGTTTATTATTATTATTATTATTATTATTATTATTATTATTATTTTCAGTTTAGTGGGTCATATTCCTGTGTGAAAAGGAGAAAGCTCTTTTGGGGGTATACTCGCATCCCCTGGTTCTAGGGTGATCATTGACTTTCTTTCAGCAATAAAGAAGCATACTCAATGTGTGGGTGTTAATATTTCCTAGTAGGAACTGTTTTCACTACTTCAGAAAAAAGAACCTAACAAACATTTCCAAGTAGATTAAGTGAAGTGTGTAGATAAATGTAAGAAAAAAAAGGATATACAAAAGGTCGAAAAGAGATAGATACTTTTATGACATTATCTACATATTTCATAAATCACGAAACCAAAAGACAGTAGGCTCAAAATTTAACACCACCATCATGGTTGGGAGGCTGTATCTTCTACTGAAAATTTACATTACCCAGGGTCCATATTGAAAACCGTCTTGAAAATCATCCAAAAGAAGTTTTGTCACACTGACTATTATAACAAACATGGATTGAGATTAATTTATTGTCTATTCTTCTTTTACTAAATAAAACACTTGACCATGACAATTAAGAAAAGGAAGAGTGAAATCTTAGATGGGAAAAAACCTTCTTATGTTGAGATGTCCCCTTGTTAGAACTTCAACATGGTTTCCAGTCTGCAGGACAAAGCTCCTAAAGGCCAAAGGTTCTTCCGGATCCTAACAGGTTCCTGAAAAGAAGATCTTCTATTCAGCTTATTTACAATGCACTTGACATTTCCATAAAGAAGACAGTCCTCATCGTAGATTTATATTAAATTTTGCAGTAGTTAGCTTCTGTTGAATATAGAGGAAATAAGTGTGGTGGCGTCCTGACCTGGAGGTTGATTTGCGGCTGGGTTCGCGGTGGCCGGCTATGGGCAGTGGTGCGCGGTGGTTTGGGGCGAAGGGAGAGATTCAACATAGGAGGGAAGTGGAGCAGAGTGAAGACGTTAGTGGTGAGGAGTGGGGGTTGGGACGCTCGATGGTGGTGGTTGTCGTGGATGACGAGGGGCTTTGGTGGAGGTTGGATTAGGGTGAGGCCGCGACTGCGACTTGGCCTTGCGGTGGCTCGACGAAGGGGACGACGACCTCATAGTGGCAGTGCATCGTGAAGATGGTGGTGGAGGCCGCGAAGACGGGGTTTCTGCGAAAAGGGGGGTCCGCGGTCATGAGATGTGGTGGTTCCGATGAGGGTGATTGGGCGAGAATCTGGAGGCTGAAAGCTAAGATGTGGTGCGACTGCGGGGTGGTTCTGCGTTGGTGAGAAGCTTTGGTGAGTGAAGGTGGAATTAGGGCACGGGTATGGTTGTGGTGGTGACGGGGAAGAAGCCTGGTGGTGACGGGTATATCGGTTCAAATGAGGATACCGTGTGGGGTGCTCGAGAGTGGGGAGGCTGCAGCTAGGGTTCTGGTGAAGGAGGTGGGTGGCGGGTTATAGAGGAGGTTAGTGAAATTGAGGGAGACGAAGGAAGGAGTTAGGGAGCTTGAGTGAGGCGCGGAGGAAGTGTAGCGAGGGTTTTTTCTTTTTTTCTTTTTTATTTATTTAACATCCGTAGGTAAATGAGTAGGTAAAGTAGTAAAAAAACATTACCTACCTCCTACATCCGTAGGTAATGCATAATCATCCCATCCGTAGGTAAATTCCGTAGGTAATAGATAATTTATATACGAACATACTTTTGTAGGTAAAATCCGTAGGTAATGTAAAATTTACTTACGGATTTTTACCCGTAGGTAATATTCCGTAGGTAATAGGCTTTTTTCTTGTAGTGCGCTCTTTATTTTGCGATAAGACAAGATTTGGGGTCTATAGCTGCCCCCCGTTTACTCGACCAGTTGGCTATGGGCTTTCGTGCCATAAGGTCGATTGGCGGATAAAGGAGTTAACCCTCTTGTTCGGCTATCCTCTGGATGATCCTTTGATGTCGTAGCTGACCCTCGGGATGATGAATGTGGTCTAGTACTGTCTTCAGGATGCTTCCTTGCTGTGGAGGCTGACCCATCGGACGATATTTTGGTGAGGCTTCAGGATGCTCTTTTGATGCGGTAGCTGACCCCTTAGGTGCTGGTGAGTTTATCTTCTGGATACCCTTTTGTAACAGGGTTGATCCTTGGATGCTGTGGTGGCTTACTGTTCTAGCCCATGCGCCGAGTGAGAAACCTTAGGATGCTCCTTTGATGTGGTAGCTGACCCTTCGGCTGTGGTGGCAGCTTACTGATTCTGATCATGCGCTGGCATGATGAGTGTTTTCTTCTGGTAGAGTCCTCCGGTGTGTCGGGGATCTTTTGATTTTCAACTATTCTAATAGTCATCCAACTAGTTGGTTGCTGGGAATTCTTTGTTTTGATCTTTTGATATTTGTCGTCCGACTTTGTTAGTTGTCGGGGATTTTTTGTTAGTGGGGTCGTCTTGCCAGTTTACCTTGGCTAACGTTTCGGATTTAATCCTGCCTTTTTCCGCGGTTTATCTTTTTTCTCGTGACTTTGGATTTTGGCTTTTCTAAGCGTAAGTCTTTTTATTCTTTAGTTTCTTTTGTTACGCTGACTTTTTCAAAAAGAGAGAGTAAAGGCAAACAGATTTTACTAAAAAATTTATTTATATTATGATAAAATTTTGTACAATGATTTTTTCGATAATGTCCCTAAGACGGCGATGGACTTGAGTCGAGAGACGACCCGAGAGGGGGAAACTACCGATACATATGCCTTTGAAATTCCTCCTGGCTCCGGATTGAGCTAAGTTGGTCTTGTCGGATCAGTGCCAGGTCTTGTCTCATCCCCTCCTGCATTTGGCCGAAGGTCTCCATCCGTGTCCCGAAGACATCTTGTCTTAGGGACATCTGGTCCTCGGGGGAGTATATCCTTCCACTTCTGGTCATGCCCCCAATGCCGGCTATATTGGAGATATCCTCCTTTATTGGTGAAGTTCCCCATATCTCCACGGTACAACTTTGTTTGATTCATAGGGGAAAGGATGAGGCATGAATAGTCGCACATGCATCCTTGCTCCCTCTTCTTTATTGACCTTGAGGGCCAACGACCGATGCTTATTATCCTCTTGTGGTGAATTGACCGTTGGGGAGATCTTGATTAAGAGCGGTTTTTTCTCCATCCTTCTAATTGGAAGACGTGTCAGTTAATCCTTCCTTTTTATTATCTTATTTATTAAGAACGAAGGAAGGGAAATCAAATATGAAAATGAATGGAATGCATGCAAGTAGACAATTGTTGAATAAAGAAATTTTATTTATTCGTAGAAAGTGTACATTCCCCTACTCCACACTACGAAGCAACTTTTGACAGAAATGGAAAAGCCTAAAGAAACCCACAGACGGGTCTTGATCTCTATGTAACTCTCTTTCGGCTTCCCGGACGTGACAAGCGAGTGCTTCGGTTTGCTTTTGGACCGCCTGGCTCATATCTTCGCTGTACTTTTGACCCTCTTTGATCTTCGCCTCCTGATGGATGACCAAGGCTTGTAGCTCGTCGATTTTTGCAAGGGCTCGGTCTTTTTCTCATAGTACTTGACCATACTAAGCTAATCCATCTCTTTCTTTGCAACGTAGCTCAATGAGGCTTTTGTTGAGCCTCTGGTTAGCCTCTCGCTCTTGGCGTATTTCAGACCGAGTCCTTGTGAGGTCTTGTAGCAACTCCTTGATCATCTGAGCCTGCTTTACACATTCGGCCTTAAGGCGTGTTGATTCAGCGGTTATTTCTTGAAGTTGGTTATCCGAGCTGATTCTGGCAGTTTTGGATGTCGTGATAACCTGTTCATTAGAATCAACACATTGATCCTTAAGGCGCTCTATCTCGTGATCTTTTTTCTTGCATTGCCTCCGTAGACCGTTTATGGTAAGAATAGATTCTTGTTCTCTTTCTTCAAGGGCACTCATCTGGGCTCCCATGATTTCTACCCTCCAAGTCAAGGCATTGACTTGGGTTTGTAACTCTTCATTATTTGACGGCGCAATAGGTGAGGCAGATGGTTGAGACATCCCTCTATTTTTTCTCCACTCCTCGTAGTCACTAGAGATAGCTACTCGAGCTTTTCCTAGCTCTCTATCTCCCATGAAGACTGGTTTCTCCCATGTTCTTCGTACAACAAGCGAATTAGCGACAGTGCATGGGTCTCCGAAGAAACACAGTCCTCCGAGCTCTTCCCATGATATTGCAGTTTGGGTCCTCATGAGTTGTCTCATAGCCACCTTTGGAGAATAGGCTATGCAACCCCTAAGTCCTATTAACGGTATGCTCGGATAATTTGC